TTCTGTTTACTCATGAGTAAGGAAAGACTGAAAGGAAAAGTAATTAGGGCTGCCCTATCTTTTTTCCCTTGTCCTCTATGTCACCATTTTTAGCGTATGCAGTTGGTTGCCCAACACAGGAACCTAACATGTGTAAGATAGGGTTCCTTGGTTGCTTGTTTCCTAGAACACCATTGGTTTTCCCCTGTGTTCTAAGAAAGTTCCGATTTCAAAGGAAAGCACTGTGTCCTGGAGCCGTCACCACCAGCCTCTCCCCCATCCCATGCAGAGGGAATAGGCTTACCGCCTACTGGTTCTCTGTCTCACTGAACTCCCACACATCAGGCGCCCACCAGAAATTTGTGCTCAGGGGGCATCATGGGTGCTACATGCAAACATGAGGTTGGAGGGAGCAGTGGACACGCATATTGTGTGCATGTCCTCTGCTCACGCGCATGCTCCGTGTCCATCAGACTTCTGGCAGGTGCTGGTCCGGGCACCAGAGATCCTCTCCCAACCCTGCCATGCCCTGGCTGTGCCACTCTGACCAACTTACTCGCTGCTCTAAGGGTCGATTTCCTTATTGCAAAATGAAAATGGTTCCACCAGCCTCATAGGGTTATCGTGAGGAGGAACTGAAAGAATGCACATAAAGCTCTTAGCCCCAGGCTTGGCACAGAGTAAATGCTTGGTGTTAGCTGTGCTGTGAGTGTTGCTGTCTTTGGATGCATTTTGCAGTTTCATATATTTGAAAATCGTTATTCCTTCAAATGAGATAGTGAAGAAACCTGGTGAAGAACCTTAGAAGGGATAGAAACTTGACAGTGGGGCCATAGCCAGGGGTTTAACCACAAACCCAGCGGCATCCTCCCATTACCACTAAGTTAAGAAAAGCCTTGAATGCAAAATAAATGGGAAAGATCCCTCCCAATGACGTATGTAGAAGGCACAAGGAGAAGTCTGTTCTAGGTCAACGTGTGTCTTTATGGGAAGCAGCGAGAGGACTGATCTTAAGTACAATACATGAGCCCAGGGTCATTGTATTTTTAGTGTCACAGGCCACAGACTCTTCCTGTTCCCTCCTCAGCTTCCTCTCAGGTCGCTGCCCATCCATGAATTTACTAAACCAGAGTCACTCAAAGTGGAGTCCCCAGGCACCTACATCAGAATCACAAATGCAGAACCCTGGGCCCAATGCCAGACCTTTGAACTGAAATCCCTGGGGAAGTCTGACCCAAGAAACTGATTTTAACAAGTTGCCCAAGTACTTCTTATGCTGCTAAGTTTGAGAACTTCTGTGGGAGCCTAGGAGACCATTTTTTCCCTTTCTCTCCCCAGCACTCAGCAGACCTGATAACCTTTGTTGAATGTAGGAGGAATGACTAGATCCAAAGCAAGAGGCTAAAGTATTTCTCCCTATCTGAGGGCCGTTGGGATGGTTCTACTCAGGCCTGATATTCAGTGGGCAAGACTGGTAGGGCTGTACATTTGTTAAAATATTAAAACCCTTCCACAAGGGTTAGTAAGAGCCCACTTCGCTAACCTCTGTGCTATCCCCTGGCCCGGCTGCCCAGCCTCTCCCTTGCACTACCCCATGATCAGCAACTAAAGTATTAACCCCTTGTCTAGCAGGGGGAAGAGTAGAGATATTAGTCAGCCCCTCATTGGTCCAGCCAATGTGGTGCCTTGGGGGAAGCGGCTTGTGCCTTGTCTGCACCTCTACCCTGTGGAGGGGGGTGGGAGCATCCTGAGGTGTGGCACCCTAGCCAGTTTACTTTGACTCTAGTGTAAGGGTCCCTGTCTCCACATGTCCCCCAGGCCATAAGGGGCAGAGTCCTTGTGGGTAAAATGGCATTTGTGGAGGTGGTGCTGGTACCCTGGTGGGCATGTGCCCCAGGGTATGGCCACCACTGGTTGAGATACCCCTAGAGATGCTCTTAGGTCGCTGCTTCTAGGAACAGCAGCCTCCATGGGATGTTGACTCAGAGATCATGGAAGAGACTGGGTGCACACAAGGCATGCAGGGATTAGAGTCCACAAACACGAGGGCTCCGTTGGCATGGTTTGGAAGGTGAGAGCCTGCTTTTACAGACAGCTGATGCACGCACGGGTCAGTGCAGGGCTGGGAGAGGGATGAGGAAACAGGCTCTCTTTTCATTTATTTGGGCAGTTTTGCTAAAATCGCTGAATGCCCTCCAACCGTAGCATTAGCCACATTACTTTCATAAATAAAAAATGAGGGCAGGTACTTATGTAATTATTAACCCATTTGAGTTCCTCTAATTATCACTACCATTGCTATTACATAGATGAGGAGACTGAGACTCAGAAATTATTTAAAACTCAAGCAGAAGAGCTATGGTTTGACCTTAGGCAGCCTGACATTAGAATCCACACTGATAAACACTATTTATTTTTATTTTTCAATTTACATTCAAAAAGTTGTTTGTGTGTGTGTGAGAGAGAGAGAGAGAGAGAGAGAGAGAGAAACTTGATAACAGAGATCTGGAATATATTAAAAAACTAATACAATGATAGAAATATTCTTAATGAAATTGCTGTCAGTTTAGCAGAAGCTGAGGAAGGAGTCAGCACCATCAGCAACATTGCTGATGTTAAGAGAAATTATCAACCTATTGAGACTTCAAGTAACCTAAAGATTATCAAGTAATTGGGGAAGTCATTGGAAAACTTTCCTGTGTATTTCTATGTCAATCATGGCGCAGACAGGGGCATGGTTTAGTGACAGCATGTCAAACACAAGGTCAGTGATAATTTTTAAAGATCAAGAAATGATTCGGCTAGTATTAGAAACTGATGAACTACTTGCATTAAAACTCATATCTCTATGATTATGTTTAGAGAATATTGGGGATTAAATGTTTTAAATTTATTTGTTGATTCACTACTTACAGTTTTTTAAATACAATATCACGTTGGCTTGGCTTATTCAATTCTTCATTCTATTCCTTTGGCCCCACTTGTCGGCTGGAAAAGAAGAAAGATAAACTCTCAGGCTGAGCTCTAATCGGTTGATCTGTATCCCTTTTCTGCTTCAAGTTTGCCCTTCTGCTCGCTCCCACTCTCTCTCTGAGAGGGAAGGAGGCAGATACCTGCTTTAGGTGGAAAAGTCTGTCCTGGGAATTGAGTGGGAACGCGCACGAGAGGCCTGTCCCTCGGTACCCTATTGCTTCCTTCCATACACCCATGTAATTGAGCTGTCATATTTAAAGTTTTATTGGTTAAGATTCAAGTTAGGACTGGTGCCCTTCTTTTGCAAATTCCTTCAGGGCTCCATGTGGAAAAGAACAAATAGAAAGCTCAGTGCAGGGTTCTGAATAAGGCTGTGAGAAATGAACAGTCCTCAGTCTGTACGGTCTCAAGGAACACTGAAGGGAAGGGAGTTGCTTAAACACTTAGAAACAGAAAGGAAATACAAAACTCTTCCATATATTATGTCAAAACCAGCTCAAAAGTATGTGACAATCCAGGCAAAGCATTGCAGTTTCTAGCCAGTCCAGTCATGATTCTCTGGCAAACTGCACAGTCACGGTTATGATGCATTGGGATGAGAGGTGCTATATAAATGTCAAATGTTACATAAATGTCAGGAATAATTATTGTTAGTTAATGGGGCTAAACTGTTCCTAAGCAAAGCTTTAACTCCCAGCCAACACATCCTTAGCACAGGTTCTAACTGCCAAAACCCCAGAAGAATGGAGTTCCAGAAAGGAGCTGCTTTGGGGCCTGGGGTGTAAAAGCAGGGGCTGGAGCGGCGCCAGCGCGGCCACTTGCTCAGGTGACTTCGGGCCAGCGCCCTCACCTTCTGGAGCCTGCCTTAGCTCACCTGTATAATGGGGATAATTTTAACACTCGCCCTACTTCTTGTGCTGGGTGGTTGTGTGAAGCAAGGGAGTTCCTGTGAGTGTGAGTGCTTTGTAAAGTGTGAGCTGCTGCGGGGATGAGGGCTGGAATGCAGCCGACGCCTTGCCCTGCAGCCCGCCTCTCGGGGAGAACATCTGAATGGCAATTAAGCTGGAGATGGCGGTGGTGGCTGGCCGGTGCTGAAAACGCCAGGCTCCGTCTCTCAGGGAGTTGTCAGGAGGATCCTGCCGACCAGGCGCCCGGATCCTGCCACTGGCCCTGGCTCTGCCACTTGCCCGCCTGTGAGCTTGGGCAAGTTACAGACCAGGCTCTGGAAGTGATCGCCAGGGGCCCTTCCGGCTCTGACGCTGAATCTAAATCAGGCTCATCACTTGGCTCGAGCTGTGATTCACCTTTCGCCTCCAGGGACAACTCTTCCTCCAGCTTCTCAGGAGCACGGAGCAGGGGTCTTCGGAAGGGGGCGGGTGAGGGGGTCTGTGTATGCCATGTGAGTGTGCACCATGAAGGAATTCCCTTGGATGTGAGATGGGGTGGGGGGGGGCGATTAAAAGGGAGTTGAGCGAGTGCTCTGGGAAGCCAGGATGCAGGGAACACTGTAATGAGGTCATGACTGTCGCAGGCAAAAAAGGAGCTGGACATCTGCTGGCGAGGGGAGAGCGGAGCGTCTTGAATTTTCCTGTTCGCAGAAAGTCTTACCAAACCGTTCAGGACCCCGATCGCCACCTCTCCCCTACCCCCATCCCCACACCTTTCCAAGGCTGCCAGGCCCTTCTCGCAGGAGAGCCCCTCCTCCCTGGTCCTGTCTGAAACCCTGAGGATTGTTTCCAAGCTGACTCACACCACTAATGTCAGGGAGCCGTGTCACACGGCGCTGGGCTCTGCAAGCTGCTGCTTGCGCTGTCGCTGCCACTGCCGCCTGCCAACACGCGCTCTCCAGCGGGTGCACCAGGGTCCGCTCTTGGGGCGGGGTCAGGGCGGGGCTGGGGCGGGGTCCGCCCCCTTGGTGCGCCGGCCCCGCCCCTCCTTCCCTCCCCCGGACCGCAATGATTTAGAAGTTCAGGAATCCCACGTGACGTCACCGGGGGGGTGATGTAATGCACTCTAAATAGAATGTATTGTAATCTTTGCTCAGTCCAACGTGGTCCCTTCACCCGGGCTCTGCTCTTGCCTTCTCCACACTTGTTTGGTAAGTTCCTAAAAATACGGCCGGGCCACTTCTGGGGCTTTTGCATTTAGCCACTTTTGTTGCACTTGCTGAGGGAGCCATCTCCGGAGCGTACTTGTTGGCAGGGGTTGGTTCTCGGCAGCCGCCGAGAGGTTACTTGGTCCAGTGGGCAGGTCACAGGGCAAGGAGTAGGGAAGATGCGATGCATTTTTTTGGAGGGTGATCTGTGTTTGTAAACACATTGGCGGACCAGAGGGAAGTCCGGCCCCAAATGCCGGTGGACTGTGGAATTCTGCTGTGTCCTGAGGCCACCCTAGAGACCCCGCGCCGCGTCCATCCCGGAGCGCGTCTCCGTGGCCGCCGCGCCGTGCGACTGGAGGGATGCTAACGTGGAGCGAGCGCTATGTCCGCCCGGCGTGCGTGCGTGTGTGGGAGCGCGCGTGTGTTTCCCTGACATGGGGAACAGTTATGAATCGGGGGTGTGTGTTTGCCTCCAGAGACCTGGCAAGGTGCGGAACCCTCCAGAAGTGCGGTCAAGCGGTGGCAGCGGCGGCGGCAGCGGAGATGGCAAGCCAGGAACCTTCCCCCGCGTCCCCAACTTCCCGGTGATGCGGCGGACCCCCGGAGAAAGTTTGCAAACTTCCAGCGGGCGCGGCGAGGACGCCGGGTCACCTAGTGGGTGGACAGGCGGGTGCGCGGGGCTCGCTCCCTGCCGGTGCTGAGCCTGCTGCCGCCACCTCTCTCGCTGGGCTGCCCGCCGCAGCTGGTGGGCGCGCGCCCGAGGAGGGGACGTTGCCCCCTGAAGGGCACTTGGCTTTTGCTGCAGGCGCGGCAGGCTCGAGAGTGGCGAGGCTCTGCTTGCGTTCGCTCCTGCAGCCGCCCCCTGCCTCCCTCCGTCCCGCGCTAGCTGGTATCATTACCTCTTCCCCGCCGCTGCCCCAAATGACAGCTGCCGCTTTTGCCTCGGCGGCGCGGTGGCAGTTTCTGGCGGCGGAACCTCTACGGCAGATTCTCCACGGAACCGCTTAAACTTTTCACGAAGTTCTTAGAGGGGCAAGACGTGCGAAGGAACCAAGGAGACGTTTTCTTCCCAGCGGCTGCATCCCGCCGCTTCTTTGCTATAAATTTGATTGGGGGCAGGGGTTGTGTAACCAACCGCTAGATAAAAGTCCCGGACGAGGTCCACCCCCTCCCCAACTTCCCCGGAATGTGTGCCGCCCTCCACTTGATGCTCTTTCAAGGCCAGGAACTAGAGTGGGCTGCGTGCATGTTTTGTCAGAGTCCGCAGAGTGTGTTTGATTTTTATTTTTCCCTCCCTCTCTGACATGTGTCAAGGAATAAAGGCTGGATGCAGGTCCATTACGTCATTCTGCAGGCCAGTAAGTGTTTGATTAACAGCTTCAGATATTCAAGGGTTCGGGGGCTTAGAAATGCTGACAAAGCAACTCTGCTTTCCACCCCCAGCCCCCGACATACTTGCACAGTCGCCAGTTCCCCGGGCATCTTTATTGCGCTCTCCTCCAGGACCCCTCCCTCCCCACCCCTTCTCCCGCCCACCCCGTTATCACTCTGGCCCCGCCTCCGCCTTTTACTGCTTTCCCTGGGGCGCTCACTGTCCCTGGAGTGTGGGTCAGAGCTTCTGGCGTCGGAGCGGAGCGGGGCACCTGATCGGCGCAGGCACAATCTGCCCTTTTCCATTATTTACGAAAGACACCAGCGAGTCCTCCTCTCCAGGGCGAAAGTGCTCAGCCCTGACAGAAAAGGCATCTCAGGAAATGTTTAGCGACGCTACGACAATGCTGTGTCCCTGTGGTGACTTAGGAAAACAACACACCCATTGCAAACAGTATTTAATTTGACAAAGCGCCTTTCTCCAACTGCTTAGCGGAAGAGGGAAGGCGAGGAGAGAGGATGCGGACTAAATTAAATTTAGTTGAAAGGATCAAACGTTCCATTTCCAAAGTGAGGAGGGAATGTGAGCCGTTGAACCCAAAGGACAGTACAATGAATTGTTGTGTGTTACTTTCTTTCTCTTAACCTTAAGTTTCTGTACTCAAGGAGGAAGTTAAATACTTCAGTTCTTGAATTGAGTCAGAACTTCGAATCTGCCAGTTGCAATAAAAACACTGCCTGTGACATGTTTAAGGGATAAAAGTAAAAACTCTTGGAGTATGTGTGCAGCAGAAATCAAGAAAAAAAAATTGCTAACAGGGTTTTGGATGGAAGGGCCAGATGATTTGGTGCCCTCTGATTTGGAGTGGGTGACAGCTAACCAAAGGAAAATTTATATCTTGAGTAGGTGGGAATTTGTGGAAGGACACAGGTTTTCGTGTAATCAGGTCTAGTGTCTTCAAAGTGAAAGCCACGCTGTAGAGTAGACATTTGTGAAACCCCTGTCTGAGGTCTAACTGACAATCTTTCCCCAAGTTTGTGGCAGTATTTATTATTTATTCACATCTAGAGATAAAATAGTATAACCCCCACACAAGACATGTGCATCTAAGATGTTAAACTTCTTGTTTGTGATGCACAGACCTAAAGGAAAAAATGGCCCAGGGTCACCGACACTGAAGAGAGTGATTAATGATCAGTGATTTAGTGATCAGTGATTAGTGGTTTTATTCAAACTGTTACCTCTGACCAGAAGCACACATCAGAGGATTAACAGGCTCTTTAGATAAATGCTCATTAGTGGAAGGGGAAAGGCAAAGATAATAGGCATGCACCCAGGGACAACTTTCGAAGAAAATCATTCCCGTCTTCAGAATAATAAGCTCTATTAACAGAAAGCCCTTTTAATTTAAAACTTGCTTTTATCTTGTAAATCAAAGTTAGATGTAAAAGTTTGTAGTGCCATTATAACCTAAATTTTCCCATATCCACTAGATGTGGATTATCTCCGTAGTGATATTTTTTTTATTTAAATAAACAATTGGACCTTTAGAGCAGCTGAGCCCTGACAAGTCCTTAACTCCCAGGGTTTGAAGGTGTCCCCCCTTCTAGAATGGAGAGTGCCGCTCGCTAACTAGATGGCGCACTGTTATTTGGTGTTCTGTGCTGTGCAGTTCAGGAGTCTAAGCGAGCAAGTAGCTGCTTGTGAGGTGTTCTTCAACACTTACAACAAAGTTGATTCTGTGTAGGGTTGGAGGCTAGACCGTTCTACAAGTTTTTAGTCACATTTTCCATGTCAGTTAAATCTAGGGAGTTTAAGGCTACTGGAAAAATTAGTCTCATTACTAAAAGAAACGTAGAGAACGAGGGAGGAAAGGAGGTACGAGAGTCTAGGAGGTACCTCTGAGTTGCAGAAGTGATTGTAAAATACCAGACCTGTTCTTTTTTTTTTTTTTTTTTTTTAACTAAGAGTTAGTTTCACAATCTTGTGGTCTGAAATACCGAGGCAAATACTCAGATTTAATGTCTTCCTAATCTTGCTGGTGAAAAAGAAGTTACTAGAAAGAAAGGAAGAAAAAAAAAAACTTGATTTGGTGACTGCAGGAAGCAACACGTTGCTGACTTTATTCTACAGAGAATGGTAAGAAGATGTTTACTATGCTTATTAAGCAGAAAGGGAACTTTGCAGTTGGTTAAATGAGGCCAATCTTGTATTTTCGTAGATGAAATTCAGAAATGGGATTCGTATTTTACACTAAATTTTAATGTTGCTTTTGTCATTTTCCTGGGATTTGGTAGCATTTCGTGTGGGATGGTGTGTGTGTGTGTGTGTGTGTGTGTGTGTGTGTGTGTGAGAGAGAGAGAGAGAGAGAGAGAGAGAATAAGACATTTATTTCCTGGGTAAGATAATGTTTATGAGCATGTTTATGTGTCAGGTAAGAATCCCCTTATTCCATGAGTCTTTATGAATCACTTCAATATGTACTTAAGTTTTAATAAAGAAGGACTTCTTAAAAAAGAAACCTAAAAATTGAAAATAAAACAACAAAAAACCTCTCACTATCCACCTTCTGACCTAGATATGTATTCCTCTCAAGAAGGTCGCTGTCAATTGAGTATCAGCTATTACTTTAGTTCTAAAACTTAAAAAGAAAACAATGAAAGAACTCACCTGTGTCTTCCTTTTTTCCCCCATTTTCTGTTGCTTGTAGCATTTTTAAATAGATATATTATTTTTAAATCCTGGCTGATTCATAGTGATTTTTATTTTTCAAGTTTACTCAAAGTAAACACATTTGCTCAACTGATAGTATCTTCAAACTGACTGTTTTTTAATGTAAACTGCTGATGTCCATAAATTGCCTGTAAATTAAAAGTCAGTTATGACCTCATATAATTTATACATGAGCAGATAGTTTATTAGAACATTCCCATCAAAAAAAGTGGAAACTGTGCCTTTACTTCTATATCTCTGTGGTGCTGCAGCTTTTATTTGACTAGGTGATTAAATGAATGGTAGTTTATAGAGAGATTTTCCTTTATAGCTTTTCAATTACAGTAAGTTGAAGATTTTCATGACAACTACTTGTCAGTTTCCCATACCTGTAGATTGAAAACCAATCAATCATCACAAACTTTCCATGACTATTTGTACTGATGTCAAGTTCCTGGCCTCCTGATTTCTTGCTATAATTTACCTTTTAGCAATGATGTATTACTATCTTACAGTAGTATTTCCTTAGAGTTGGAATTTGCTTTTTATTAAGCTGAAAATTATTTTGTGTATTTGGGGGTGATGCTCGTTGGCTCCCCAAAATGTGAACTTTGTAGTTAGTTTTCTTCTGCTTGTGCTATTAAATTATTTTGGGGATTTGAATGGACTTATTATTTTTGTCATCTTTCTTCTTCTTCTTCACTTCAAAGCATTGCTGTTAGTCACAAAATTAATGTGATCATGTTGGTGTTTCCCATCTATATGCTTCCTTTGCATCTTACAAATTGGATTTCTACAGCAATTTAAGATCTTTTTTTTAGAGGCAGCTTTCTTGGATGAAGATGGAACAATGATCTCAGTCAATTCATTATCTTGTCCAGTTTGACAACTAGCTATATTATGGGAATCAACCAAT